TGAGCAGAGGACAGCCTAGTCCATTTGTCTCCCTCCTGTTGGAGAAGCAGGAAGAGGGAGGGACCACAAGGGAGCTGACCAGTGCAGATCAGGCAGAGGGATGCAGAGGGGACGGGCGGGGGGGGGGGGGGGGGCTGGGTTGGTCAACTTCATCTTCTGGAGTTGAGGATTCCTTGGGTAATCCTGAGTGGCAGTGTCCAGCAACTCTCTGGAGCAGGGAGGCCACTGACCCCCAGCTCAGATCCTTTGCATGAATGACTTCCTGAGCAGCAACCTGCCTTCTCTGTAAAGTTCCCCAGGCCAGCCCCAGTGCAGGCTGAGCAGAAGCTGGAGGTAGAGTGTCTTGGTCCTGCTGAGGTGCTTAGCCACTGCAAAGGCACATCTGGGGCTTCCAACCAGAGCTGGGGACCCAAGAGAGAGCAAGAGCCATAAGGCAGGTGAGCGCAGGGTTCATATCACAGGTCTGCCACTTACTACCTTTAACTCCTCTAGGCCACAAGTGTTCCTATCTTTAATTTAAGACCTATCAGAATTGTGATAAAGATTAAATGTTCCTTTCCCCATAGGGGCTCAATAAATACTGTTGTTAGTGAGAGTGGTGGCTGCTGGGCCTGGGCAGAGAGATTGCAGGTTGGGGGCTAGCGCAGGCCTCAGTATGGAAGGAGAGAACTGCCAGGCGAAGAAGGGGACTGAAGCCACAGGACACCCCCAGCGTGGGGGTTTGGCAGAAGGCCAGGCCTGAAGCTGAAGGGCAAGGCCCTGAGACTCCTGGCAGCCCCCACCTTGGTGCAGGGAAGGGAGGCGAGAAACTCCTTCAGGCTGAAGTTCCCACCGGTGGGCACTGGCGGGCGGTCAGCGCTTCGGCTGATCTGGGGAACAGTCCAGCGAAGGAGAGCTGCCCTCCAGCCCTCAACACACACCCTCTTTACAGGTGGCCAGATGGCGGGTCTTAAAACGTCGTCCTGCTCTCACGTTCAATGGCTCTGAAGACTGCACCTTCCAGCAGGCTCACTGTCCCAGCAGGCTCCGAGCGATTGAGGCCCAACCTCCTCCCCAACACCAAGAGTAATTAAAACACAAAAATGACACCAAACTGGGGAATAAGTGTAAAGAAGTCCAACCAAGTTCTGATCCTTCCCATGATGACTACCTAAAGACCTTCTTCAAAATACCAAATTCTTATTTAAAAAAAAAAAAAAAGTTTATGGGTTCATTTGAGCCAAAACTGATGATAATCTCTGGAAGCAAGATCTTAAATACTCCAATACCAGATTCTTAAAAATTTGTTCTCTTTAAAGCTGTCTGGCCCTGCCTTGCTAATCGTGGGTGGATGCCACATCTTGCGGGCACACGCACATTCTCCCCACCTGGAATGCACTGGTCTATCTCCATTGATTTTTCCCTGGAGAATGCCTCACTCTTCTGTGCTCAGCTGAAAGGTCACCTCCTCCAGGAAGCCTTCCCTGATCTTCCCCTACCGCTAGGGTTTGGAAGCACCTCCCGCTGGTTTTTCCTAGCGTGGCGCTCCCCACTCTGTACTCTTATTGAGTCTCCACCCCTAGCCTGGAAGCTACTTGTATTGCCACTCCGTAAGCCCAGCACCCAGCGCTGCCTGGCACTTAGTTAACGCCCAATAAACGCGGTGGAGGGAAGAGGGCAGGGGTTTGTGGGGAGCGCAAGTGGATGTCCAGCAGCAGGCGCCGCGTTCTGAGGCATTTGACCGTACCTCCTCCCTCCCACCTTGCCCCCAGACGGCAGCGCGCGCTAGGAGACCCGAGGAGACTGCCTGCCGTTGAAGGCCAGGCTTCGCGTCCTTAGGGTTTGACCCCAGGCCACGAGACACACGGCTCCTACAAATGGAAGCGGCGGGCGACCCGGACTGGGCGCGAGTGCCGGCGACATCCCAGCGTTCGTAGCAGAGGCCTCAGCTTTTCAGTCGCGCAAGTCGCATGGCACCCCCGCAGCTGACCGCATGTTCTGTGGACTCAGTCACTGCGCACCTTGAATGGAGGTCAAGCTGGCAGGCAGAAACATCACAAATGGAATTAGGGGCTGTGCCCACCCCCCGCGGTTACAAGATGGGGAGCATGAGAGACAAAGCGACTGCACTCGGGGCTTTAGAGCAGTTGCCTTGACCGACATCATTGGCCACATCCCTGACCGCAGATGCTCTCTCCACTTGGCCGCTAGGAGAGATCCTGAGAGTTCTGAGTTCTGAAAAGAGACAGGAGGGAGGAGACCACAGGAACACGGGCTCCTGGAAAGGATGGAAGACCTTGTTTACGAAATGTGTCAAGAGAGAAACGATCGTGTTGTGCATACACAGGCATGGCGACACGTGTTCATTTTGGACCAGAGTAATTCAGATGGTGGAGGGTGAGTGAAGGCAGCTAGATCTCCAGCCCTGCTAAACTATCCTTGCACCTAATTCTAGAATATTTTCATGGAGTCTATCAATTATGGGGTCAGAGAAGGAGCGAGAAATGGATGGCATGTCTGGGAGGAGAAACCCAGAGGCAAAGGGTCTGAGGTTGTCAGATGAAGGCAGCCATAAGAGAAAGACCTCCAATTCTTCCTTATCCTCAAGTTTCTATTGGTCCCTGGCTCTGGCCAACCGTCCAGCACCCTCTCTAGTATGCTCTTGGCAGAGAAGGGCATCTGATTGACCAGGGATGGGGAACTGTTTGCATGATGCAGCTGAAAGACCAAGTTCTCACTGACAGCCCCTTGGAAACAGTAAATGCAGCCATTTGGCATCTTGGGGCTTGTTTTCTGGTTGGGTCCTTTCTGATTCTTTGCTTCAGAAGACAATGTAGAATGATATACCACCACTCCCAGTAAGGAGGGGGTCCTCATAAGAAGTACTCATTCCTGTATTTCTTTTACCTAGTACAGTGCCTGGTTCATAACAGCTGCTTAATGGAAGTTTGTTTGCTCTGTGAGTGACTGAATGAATCACAGGTATTGTCACAGAATATTGGAATCTTGAAGTCAGAAAGTCACTTGCAGGATACCAAGCCCTACAGAGTGTGTCTGGGAATTGTTGACTAGAATGAGACCCTTTATCACCTGGTCTAAAGGAACATTTATTTCCTGCCCCTCTCTTCTGCCCCCTCGCAACACACATGTGCACGTGCGTGCACGCGCACACACACACACACACACACCATAGAGGCTCTGTTCTCTCTGGAGAGGACTTCAAGTCTCCCCAAAACAACAGATGGCCCATTCACATGCACTGGCCATGTTCTTTCTGACTCTCCCCATGGGGGTTTGTCCCCAGTCCTCTTCTGAGGGCAATACCTTTCTGGCCTGGGTAGCCCCAAAGGACAAAGAGAATTGAGTACAGGAGACATGGGTGTTCCTGGGTCTTCAAGCTCTAGAATACCCACCACCGCCCCCACCCACCCACCCCGCCTACACACCCAGGCACCTAGGCTCCTCCAGATCTCTGTGCCTCAGAGGAGGTAGCCATGTGACTTCCCAAGCTCTCCACAGAGGACTCAATATTCAAACCCCTGTATTTCCTCCTTTCTCTTACTGCATGTCTTCAGTTTCCCCTCCTCCCTTCCCCTCCCACTCTTTCTTCAGTTTCCCCCAGGATCTTCTTCTTTATTCTTTGCTGAAGGTTTCAGTTCTCTCTCCGAACCATCCTTTTCTCTCCTCCAGGGTCCTCCTTGAATCCTGGCTAAGAGAAATAAGAAAAGAAGAGCTCCTTCTTTGGGCCATCAGCCTCAGAGATAATCCTTCTGGGATACTCTCCCCACAAGGCCCCCAACAATCTCTAGGCATCATGCACCTGATAAGGGATCCTCATTTGTGGCATTTGAGAGAAGACGGGACATGCCGTGAAATACTGAATTCTACTCAAAGCAGCCTTGCAGTTCAGCTGACCACTAACATGTGAGGGGCCCAAAGACCCACCACAGTGATGCCACTATAAGCACATTGCAGTACATGAAACATTTCACCAATATCGGCAGTCTCTTCCCAATTTCACAGCGCCAACACTGTGGGTCGGGTGAGATTTTCCTAATCACAATGAGAGTGTGGTGAACCTGAGATTAGCTATTTCTACCACCCACGCTAAAACTATTCTATCATTTTAGAGATTTCACATCTTTCATTTTGTTTTATTCTCACAGCAGTCCTGTGAGGTGGACAACAACCTTGCGGAGGAGAATCAGCATTTCAAGGAGATGAAATTACTTGCCCACAGCCACACAGCAGACTCCAAGCCACAGACTACAAAAGGAAAAGGAGAAGGGGGACTCAGCCCCCACCAGCCAGCCGCCAGGTATGCTGCCCAGGACTCCGCCTGGACACGTGGAGGCCTCCAGGCCCCGCCCCCTGGCCTCGTTCCGCCCGCGGGGAAGTAGGGGTTTTGAGGGGAAGAAGTCTCAGCTGTTCCTGCGACAGTGTCCCCACTGGGGCGCACGCGCTGGCGTAAGGTTTCTTTGGGAAGCCAATGGCCTTGAACTTTGTGCTGAAGGATCGCCGGGCAGAGAGAAGCCCCGGAGACCAGGATGGGTGGAACGCGGAAAGGAACCCTAGGGACTGGGTGGGAGAGCAACAGAAGGACTAGCTCCTCCCCTGCGGGGTCAGGGACCTTGGAGCCGCTGGGAGGAATCCTCCGAAACCCGAAGCCTGAAGCCTGGGTAGGCAGTAGGACCCGGAGGTGCAGCGGCCCCTCCCGTCTCCTCGAGGGTGGGCACAGAGAGGCTGCGAGGGCCAGGCTCTGATTTTTTGTCCAGGACCTCTAGGCTTCCCCAGCACCAGGAGCAGTCACTGGGAGCCTTCCCCGCCCGGCAAGGGCCCTGGGAGGCCCGCGCTTTCTCTGAAAGTGAAAGAAGTGGGCGGGGGGCGCGGCCGAGGCGGGGCCCAGGCGGGCGGTGGTGCAGGCTCCGCCTCGGGGCAGTCTCGAGCCGGGGGCGCCGAGCGCCTCCAGTCCCCACCGCGTCGCAGGCTGGTGGGCTCCGCTGCGGCTCCTGTGCCGGGAAATGACCCTGCCCGGGGGCCCGACGGGCATGGCGCGGCCGGGAGGCGCAGGGCCCTGCAGCCCCGGGCTGGAGCGGGCCCCGCGCCGGAGTGTCGGGGAGCTGCGCCTGCTCTTCGAGGCGCGCTGCGCCGCTGTCGCTGCAGCCGCCGCCGCAGGGGAGCCCCGGGCCCGTGGGGCCAAGCGGCGTGGGGGACAGGTCCCCAACGGGCTTCAGCGGGCTCCCCCTGCCCCGGTGATCCCGCAGCTGACTGTGACAGCCGAAGAGCCGGACGTCCCCCCGGCCAGTCCCGGGCCGCCGGAGCCGGAGGGTGGCTGGCTCCCGGCCGTGGGCTCGTCGCACCTGCAGCAGCCGCGCCGCCTCTCCACCTCGTCGCTCTCCTCTACTGGCTCCTCTTCGCTGCCCGAGGACTCGGAGGACGATCTGCTGAGCGACAGCGAGAGCCGGAGTCGCGGCAACGTGCAGCTGGAAGCCGGCGAAGTCGTGGGTCAGGTACGGGCCGCGAGGGCGGAGCCAGCCCCGGGCGCGGGGGCTGCTCTCTGGGGACCCAGCTCCTAGCTCTCTGAGGTCCGACTCCTGCCCTAAGTTCCCTTCGCCGAGGGTCTCACTGTCCAGGGGGCTTAGGGGTCGGAGGGAGGCGCCGGGCGGGTCTCTTGCCTTGGCAGTTTTCACCCTGGTTCCACAGGAGGGTCGCGACCCGGGCCCAGGGGCGTCTAAGAAGGCGAGCGAGGAGGAGTCTGCGACAAGTCACGGGGACCGGCTGGGGTGGGGAGCGGGAATTCGTGACCTGCCGGCTGCGAGGTGGCGCCTGAGGGATCGGAGGGGGTTGGCCTTGCCCCGAGAACTCTCGGGGAAAGCGGGGCAAACGAGTCTCCCAATCTTGCCGCCCCCTCTCCCGCGCCGCGGCCCCACCCCCGCCGTTGCCACGGTTTCCCTCTCCTGAGTGGGAGTGGAGCGGCGCTCCAGACTCTGCTCGGGAGCCGCCGCCGCCGCCGCCTGCTCCCCGCGCCCGCACGAGGCGTGGACGTGGGGAAGGGAGGGGCGCGGGACTGGGAGCTCGGGCGGGGAGGAGACCCCGGCTCTCCCCGGTTTACTGCTCCTAATTGTGGCCGGGGAAGGTAAACTGAGGCTGAAGGGGCGTGATCAACCTATTAGTCTACGCCTCTGGTGTCAGAGGCCTGGGGATTCGACCCTCGAATAATCCAGGGCAGGGTTCCCTGAAGTCCTTACCCGTGCCTGCCCCTCAGGGCTGTGCCGCGCCCGGGATGGCCGTCCTGAGCCCCTTGTTTAAACCAAGGCCGAATACTTTCCCTAACTCCTCCTGACCAGTAGGAAGGAGTTGCTATAGATCCACGTTATGCAAGTGTCCCTAGAGCTGAGGGAGAGACGAAGGGCGCCCCGCAGGCTCTGGTGGCTCCTGGCCTTCCCAGAAGGGCGGTGAGAACCGCAGACGCGCGCCGCGGTTGCCTGGGAGCTGCAGGGAGAGCCCTGGGGCGCGGCCCGGGCCTGCTGAGCCGAGGCTCCGCCGCACGCTGCGGTTGGACAAAGCGGGGGAGACACTGAACGCCTTGCAGTGGACCTGTCTCAGTTACCCCCTGAGACTTGACTTACATTACCCAGAGGACGGCATGGTTTGTGACACAAGAGGAAAAAGAAAAAAGTCGCACAGACTAGGAACACGCCCGACCTCCAGGTGTAGGGTGCGGGAGTCCCTCTCGCCTCTCCGCGGAGTAAGGGTGCCCCTGACCCAGGAGCGTTCCCCGTGCAACCCTGGCCCGTGTAGTGAGGCGGGTGCCGCCTATGGGTTTCCAAGGAAGTGGAATGTGGGGCAGCGAGAGGACTCCTCCCTCTCTGCCTCCTCGGAAAATCCGGAGCAGTAGTTCTGGGTCCACGGCTCCCCCGCTCAAATCTCTGACAGCTGAGAGGCGGGCGCAGGAGGCGAGGCGCCACGAGGGCAGCCTCCCCCAATCAGTCCCCCGCTCCCCTTTCAAGCCCGTGGGCGGAGGAGGTCCCGCGGCCCAAGGCTGTGTGCAAGGTAGGCAGCCCGGCTAGGGTCAACACTCCAGGGACCAGTCGCAGCTGTGCCCTGGGCGTCTTTCGCCGGCCTTTCCCACCCTGGGCCTTGCAGTCTCCGGCACGGCCAGGAGCTGGAGCAGATGGCTGCTTGAAGGCCCTTCCAGCTCCAAGGCTGCGCCTCACAGGCCTTCCCAACCCCCAGCCCGCCGGGGCCTCCCCGAAGGCAAACAGCCACGGCGGCGGCCGATAAGCCAGAAGCTGTTGACAGAGGCCACCTGCGTCCTCGTGGAAGGGCCTGGCGCGGACTTTGCCTCTCGGCCGGTCCGGGAGCGGCACAGTGCGCCCGCCCAGGCTGCCTTTAGGGCTTCCCCCGGCAGGAAGCAGCGCCCACGGGCTGGCCGACCGTTAAGGATGCACCTGAGAGAAGGGTACTGGGGCGGCGCCAGGGAGCGCCCAGGTCGCCAGGCCCGTGCACTCGGACCTGCGCAGATAACGGGAATAGCCAGAGCAGAAGGGAGCCTGGGAAGGCTCTACCTTGCCTCTGCCTAGCACATACGTCCTTTTCCTTCTCCTAGGAGCCCCGAAGGGCCTGCCCGGAGGGCAAAGCTGGGCTCCCCACAGGGCAGTTGGGGCTGCACAGCCCGCCTCCCTCCCTGGGCCTTTCCTTTATAGTACAGGGAAAAGTCATGGGCAGGGATACCCAAGGGGCATAAGCTGGGATGGGGCGCTTTCCCCAAGGGCAGCAGGCATGGCTGTGTTCTTAGGCCTTGCCTACCCCTTGAAACAATGCTGGAGTGTTGCTGTAGCAGAAGAGAGGGTGTTTGGCTCCTGTTCATTTGGTTCTCTTCTCTCAGTGCTCCAGGATGGGCAAGGAGACCTGGATGCCATCCTGTCCTGGACCCAGAACTCCCACACTTCACTTTTCACTAATTATAGAGCAGAATTTAGGTTAACTGACTTCCTTTTTAAAGAGTAAAAGCCCCTGGGAGGGTGAAGTCGTGGGTCACTTATACCTTAGTGCAAATGATTTTATAAATTTAAACTGATTGCTTTCACCACCACCACCACCACAGGGAGTGCTAGTTTGATAGGGCAATGGGAACATGGGGAGGGGGTGGGGCTGGTAGAGAGCTTCAGCCAGTGATTGGATGGCTGGAGGCAGGGAGTGGGAGCCAGTAAGCATGGGGGTCAGTACCAAAGGCAGAGTAAAGGGTCCATTCTGGCAGAAGATACCCTGAGTATGTGGTGTGATAGAAGAAGCAGGAGTCCTCAGGGCTTCAAGTGGAGCTTAAATAAAGGAGGGTCAGAGGCTAGTGTCTAGCCAAGCTCTGTCCAGCGGGTAATGTTCCTTGTCCAGCCTCGGGCATGAGGACTTATCAGAGGGTCCTCCTGTGACTTCATTAAAGACACCAGGGTCAGCTCTCTTGGGCTTTTTGCTCCAAGATGCTCTGGTAGCCTCTGGCCGCGAGTTGGTTTCCCAGATCTCTGTGGGGCATAGCCGAGGCCAGAGAACAGGGCTTTTGTCCCTCTTGTCAGGTAGATCTCACCTTGTAACACAATAATTCTGGTTTCTGATATGCATACAATAAAAGCCTTACCTGCTCAAAAATTACCTTCCCTGCTGTTGTTCATGTGCCCAAATCATCGCCCACTCACCAAAGAATGTTTCTCCAGGAGCCTTTTTGGAGATATGCCTCTTTATGTGCATCATGTCCTCTAGGGGAGGTAGCTCCCCAGGGTGGAAGGCGGCAGTGAGCTCCTTGGCACTCGCTTCAACTCCTTCCACGTTTGACCATACCCATCACTGGTGGGGCTGCTAACTCCTGTCACACCGACCTCAGGAGGTGGCGGGGGTGGCTCAGATGGGTATGATCGCTCGTTGTAGCCTGCGTGGCTGGAACCAGCCTTAGTCTTTGCTGCTCCCAGCTGACGGGATCCTCTCAAAACTGGGGTGGGGAGGGTAGGTGAGGACCCCAGCTTCCATCATTCTTAGAAGCAAGTTGATGCTGTGTTATCACTCATCAATCAAGTGGCAGTAGTCCAGGTCTGCCAGTGCCAAACCCTCCTCTACCAGATCCACCTTCTACCTTCCATCCCCACTCACTACTCCCACACAATCCCAGAAGAAAGAATGATGCAGTTCTCTCATCTCACTTGACCCAAAGCTGGTCCCCTCTTCCACCGGGGTGGCTACAGTAATAGATGTACCCTCTGATTAACTCCATTCTGGCCCCACTCTCTCTCGCTTTCTGCCAGTAGGCACCTGAAGCTGCCTGAAGCCCCACCATTAAACCCATTCCTTTGGATGAAGGCAAAGGTGTCAAGCCAACAGAGGGTGGGTCCCCGGGCAGATCTCAGTGTTTCCGAACAATCAAAACACACCACTTTGTGGCCGCATATTGCTTCACCTGGTCAAGAGCTCTTTCTCATGTGGGGGTGGGGGTCCCCTTTGGACCCCCAAAGGGAATCAGGATGGTAGCCTGGACTCTGAAATCTGCTGGGGCAATTGAAACAGAGAGAGGCGGCTGGGCTGGTAGATTGCTTAAACCAGAGACTGGGAGGCTGGAGGCAGGAAGTGAGGGCATGCTAACTCCCCTGAGCCTTGATTTCTTTGTGTAAAATGGCAATAACGCCACCTCCTCCTGCACTTACTGTCTGTGTGCTTCATTATCATCATTCTCAAACGGAGAGTGGGAGAAGAGGGTATAGGGTGGTGCTGCTGAATACACATGGCACATACATCTTCCCAGAATTTTATTTGAAGTTTTGGAGGTGGGAGAGTTTTATAATAAAACTTGGGTTTCTGCAGCATGATGCAAGCCTTGTATGTATTTAAAGAGTAAGAAAGGAGTTTTAAAAGTGTGGGCTGCTTCTGGCTACACCCCTAGATCCCTGGAGATTGGGCACGTGATCACACCCCAGCATACCATATAGGGTCTGCGGCAGGAAAGCAGGAGCACTGCTGCCTCGTGGAGGCTGAAAAGTGCCTGGCATGCAGTAGGCGGTCAGTAAATGGTGGCTTGTGTTATGGCAGTAGCTCTGCCTTCCCAGAGGAAACAGGCCTACACAGATGAAATTCTTGCTTGGACTCACTTGCCTAGAAAGTGACAGAGCCAGGACTGGAACCAACTCCTGACTCTCCACCCGGTGCTCAGTCACTAACTCCCATTTCATTAACTCCCATTTGATCCACATAGGAAAGGGCTTAACGGTCAACAGCCTTACGCTGCTTAAGCCACTACCCCAGTTCTCCCTCCCCTTCTTGGAATTCCCTCCGGTCAGGGAGGCTGGATTCCTGGGTTCCGGCCCTGTAGGGGCACATATGTGTAACTCTTCTAAAAGCAGGCACCCCTGAGCGGAGACAGCAAACACAGTCTGGGTGAGCAAACCTGTGCACTACAAACCTGTCGACATAGGAATGATAGCTTTTGGGTGGGAAGAAGAAAGGTCCAGAATATGAGATGTTCTCAGGATTGAGTGGAGGCCGGAAGAAATGGTCATGAGGCAGCAAGCACATCAAAATCTACATTTCCCTCTCAGTTTGATCTAAAATGAAGGTCCTCAGCTGTGCCTCCCATTTTCAAAGCTCAGGTTTCTGGGTCCACATTAGGACCAACAGTGCTCTGGGTCTTGCCATCTCGTGAGGAATGACATGGCATCCAGGGATAGACAATTTTGGGAAACCCAAGTCATTCCTTCTTCAGACCCTGCCAGGCACCTGGCCCCCCTTCCCTGGACCTTGGTAAAGGTTTTTTTTATGTGACTGTCTGTCTCTCTACATGAGAGGAACCTATGGTCCCAAAGTGAATGAATCAACAATCCAGATTTGTCCAGCTTCTGTTTCATGCCAAGAAATGAGGTTGGGGGAGAGAGAGTCTGTCACACATTCAAGCCTCATTTATTACAACAATCCAGTGAAAGAGGCTATTTCCCCATTTTACAGATGAAGAAACTGATGCACAGAAATTTGTTTCTCAGGCCCCAAAATATCCTGAGGCATCGGTAGAAATGCAAATTTTTGGTCCTACCCCAGACCTACTCAGAATTTCCCTGTGGTAAACCCAAGAATCTGCATTTTTAACAAGGGTGGCCATCAGGTGATTCTCACGCTCACAAAAATTCTAAAACCTCGACAGAGCAGTTTAGTAACCGGCCCACACAGTTTCTGAGCCTTCTGACGCTAAGTCCAGGGCACATTTGAGAAGCTGGATATCTGTCACCACCTTGTGCATCTCAGTGTCCACCACACAGGCGCTCAGTAAACTTTCCTGAGTGAGCAAATGAATGAATCATCAGGCCCTAGCTGCTTGCGGTGGGACGGGGCGGGTCGAGTCGAGTCCCTGTTCCAGAGGAGGGAGGGCTTATGCATTGCCAAGACGCTGGACAAGGAGCCCGGGACCGTGTTGCTTTCAGAAAAGCCACTGGCAGAAGATCCGGACCATGGTGAATCTGCCGGTCATGAGCCCTTTCAAGAAGCGTTATGCCTGGGTGCAGCTGGCTGGGCACACGGGTGAGCACGGGCAGGCGCGGGTAGGGTGGGTCGGTTCCTCGGGGAGGGAGGGACTAGGCAGCGCTAACTAGCGTCCGGGTCTGCAGGGAGCTTCAAGGCGGCGGGCACCAGCGGACTGATCCTGAAGCGCAGCTCGGAGCAGGAGCGCTACTGCTTAGGGCGGCTGATGTCCGACTCGCTGCGCGGATGCGTGCCCGCCTTCCACGGCGTGGTGGAGCGCGACGGCGAGAGCTATTTGCAGTTGCAGGACCTGCTCCACGGCTTCGATGGGCCCTGCGTACTTGACTGCAAAATGGGCATCAGGTACGCGTGCCCTGCCGGGCTGTCCAGGGTCTCCCGGGCGGGGGGCCAGGGCTGCGCTCGACCGGGCCCGGTGTGCGTCCGCTCAGGCCCCGCCGCCGTCTGCGCCTCTTTAGGACTTACCTGGAAGAGGAACTGACCAAAGCCCGAGAACGGCCCAAGCTGAGGAAGGATATGTACAAGAAGATGCTGGCTGTGGACCCTGCGGCGCCCACTGAGGAGGAACACGCGCAGCGCGCCGTCACTAAGCCGCGCTACATGCAGTGGCGAGAAGGCATCAGCTCCAGCACCACGCTCGGCTTCCGCATCGAGGGTATAAAGGTGGGCCAGGCTCGCTTCTCTTCGCACAGCCCCGCCCTTCCTCCACCCCAGCCCCCCACCAAGCGGTGTCTAACTTCCTAGTCGGCCCCCAGCCTCCCGAAATAAGCACCCTTTGGCGGCTGCCTCTCAGTCCCAGGCTTCCAAAGTCTAGGGAGGTACCGCCGCTATAACTGATTCTCTCCCCTCGGTCGGGCCCCTGACACTTCCTGTCCCACCTTCTTAAGAAAGCAGACGGATCCTGCAGCACAGACTTCAAGACAACGCGAAGCCGGGAGCAGGTGATTCGAGTCTTTGAGGAGTTTGTGCAAGGGGATGCGGAAGTGCTGGTGAGCGCCAAGTCCTAGACCCTGAGCTACTGGGGAGCCTGAAACCGAGCAGTGCCCCAAGCCAGCCTGTATACTGCCTCGCCTATGTGACCCCCATCGTAGCATTTCATCACATCGTGTTGTAATTGTTTTACGTTCCTTCCCTTCTGTTCCGCGCGCCACTTGAGGGTCTGTGTTTCACTGGTATTTACCAAGCCGAGCATGCATCGTGGCCCCTAATGTTAACAGAAGCCCAATTAGTGTTTAGTTAATTTGCCCTCCTTTCCTACCCTCCCCTGTCCAGAGGAGGTATCTGAACCGCCTGCAGCAGATTCGGGACACCCTGGAGGTCTCTGAGTTCTTTAGGAGACACGAGGTAAGAGGGGGTAGGGTCAGGTTCTGCTCTGTGGTCTGTGAGGGCTACACGGGGAAAAGGGTGGGGGCGCTTTTCTCGGGGAAAGGGCTGTGGCCTGACCTTTGGGGCTCTGCAGGTGATTGGCAGCTCACTGCTCTTCGTGCACGATCACTGCCATCGCGCCGGTGTGTGGCTCATCGACTTCGGCAAAACCACGCCCCTGCCAGACGGCCAGACCCTGGACCATCGAAGGCCCTGGGAGGAGGGCAACCGCGAGGACGGCTATTTGCTGGGGCTGGACAATCTCATTGGCATCCTGGCCAGCCTGGCTGAGAGATGAGGCTATGCCCCTGTCCCCACACAGACCGCTGGCCTGACAGATGGACCTGCGTTTTTGTCCCCGCCATGCATGCCGGGGAGAGACTGAAACCCAGAGGTTGGGGCGGTTCACAGGTTTCTGTAGGGCCAGGTGCCAAACACTATGGAACGCAGCACCAAAGCTGTTCCCCACGCAAACCCAAGTGGCCCCAGAGCCGATGACACTAATTTATGGAGGGAGGGGTGTAGGCTGTGACAATGGGCTTCTTCCTCAGCCCAGCACTACTGAGGGGGCTCTGTGCTTCTCCAGAGAGGCCAGATAATGAATTATTTTGCAAGCACTAGATCTGTTGATCTAACCTCCCACACTACAATGGACCTTCCTTCTCAATAAAACTCAAAGACACCAGTTTTGGCAACTCAGGCCTCATCTCCTCCCTCCTGGCCCTCTCTTTCTCAATTCCCAGCCATTCCTTACGTCCACTCTGATTACTGGATGATATGAGAAGAGCTCGTTATTAGAGGCACCTGTAGGGTTGCAGCCTGCCCAGATGAAGGGTACTCACAGGGGAAGGGCTATCCAGCAGAGGCTTCCTGCAGGAGGCAACTTCAACTCACCACCCACACCTGAGGGAGGGGGGTTGGCCTCTGTTCTGGTCCCAAAGTTCAAAGTCTGGGAGTGGCCAGGCTCTTCCCCAGGAGGCCTGGGTCTGGTTTCCAGGATGGAAAGTCCAGTGCTGCAGGCCAACCCTGAGACAGGCCCAGGCATGCGGCAAAACTGGGGCGGGGGTGGCAGGGGAGAGGCTCCTGGAATAACAAGCCACCTAGAAACCTAGGGAGGAGTGCAGGGAGGGACCATTGCTGGCATCAATGCCTGTGCCGTCACCCTCGGGGCCCCTTGGGGCCCTGCAGCCATAGGTGGGGTTCCAAAAGTTCTGAGGTTGGAGCCCCCTGGATTTGGGGGGCTTGAGGCCAGAGGGCAGCCAAGAGCCAAGGAGGCTCCCTCCCCAGCTCTTCAAGCCCTCCAGCCTCAGGTCCTGGGCCTGTGGGGAATCTTAGGCCCTCCAAAGGCCTGCTCCCCAGTCCAGAAGCCCCTTCCTCCTCCAGAATGGGCCCTCGCTCCATCAGCAGAGGCGAATTCAGCACATCAGGGTCCTGTAACAGGATGGTAAGGCGGTCAGGGGCAGGGGGTGGGGAGGTGTGCCAGCGGGCAGTGATGTTTTGTTGTTTTGTCTTTTTAAGATTTTATTTATTTATTTTTAGAGAGAGGGGAAGGGAGGGAGAAAGAGAGAGAAACATTGATATGAGAGAGGAACATCAATTGGGTGCCCTGACCTGAAACGGAACCCACAATCCAGGCATGTGTCCTGAATGGGAATGGAACCAGCGACTTTTGCTTTGTGGGATGAAGCCCAACCAACTGAGCCACTGTGGTCGGGCATCAGTGTTGTTTATGGCATTCTTCCTGACCCCCAAGACCAGATGACCAAGGCAGGTCATGGGGCACACATGAATGCAATATTGAAGATGGTCCAAGATGCTGACAAAAGTAGGGCAGAGTTCAGTGCTGCCAACACTGGGTCATGATATGTTACCTGGGGAGAAAGAGGAGTTTATGCTCAACCATGGTGGTGAACCCCCACCCCCCACCCCACCCCAGCAACACTTCATTCTCACATAGGCCCTGGACAGCTGCTGGGAGGGTCCATCCATCTCCCTCTGACTATGAAGTCTACCACTTCCTGGTTGGTGCACCTAGGGTAAGGCATGCGGCCCAGTGAGATCTCCCAGAGCGGCATCCCAAAAGACCTGCATCATGAATGGGGGGAACCGAATGAAGGCCCGTCAGGCACAGCTTCCCCTTCCCTCCTGTGAGGTAGCCTGAGGTAGGGGAGGGGGAAGGTGTGGTGTTGCCAGGAGTCTTGGATGTGAGGATGCCCTCCAAGAAGGCCTCTGGGGCCACCTACTTGACCTGCAGCAGAGCCCTTACCCCTTGCCCCTTGCAGAAATAACTGGCTCAACAGGAGGGAGGAGGAGAGGGATGAGTTATTCAAATGTCACAGGAGGCTGCTGGGAAACTCCCTTGAAACAGCAGCCTTCCTCACCTCCCCAGACCCCCCACCTGTAGATATCTCTAGCCATTCCAAAGTCCGCAAACTTGGTCACTAGGCTGGGCCCAGTGCAGCTCAGCAAACAGTCCCTGGCAACGATGTCCCTGCAGAGTTGGAGTAGGGTGGGAGGGACCACTGCCAGAACTTAGAATCTCTGGCTCTGATCTACTTTCATAAAAGTTATGTGGAAGGGCTCTTTCTTGGGGAGGGAGTTGGGCCAGGGGTTCCTTAAGCCAGGATTACTTCGACCTGTGGATGAAGTGATTTTCCTCCAGGCAGTGGCAGCCCTGGGCTGTGTCCTGATCCAGCTTGGGGGAGGTCCTGCCTGGCCAGAGGTGGCGGCCGGCCCTGGGTCGGGCAGACGGTACCCGAGCCCATGCGGGTTCCGGCATACCTGGGCAGGGTCTTTAGAGGGGCCTGGAGGGCTGAGAGAAGGGTCTTCCCAGGCAGGGCCAGCTGTGCCTCAGGAAACTCCGCACGTCCTCTTCTGACATCGGCTCCAGTAGACTTAGGCGAGGGGCAGCCCGGAGGCTGAGCCCTGCACAGCGCCCAATGTTTTGGTGGCTGAACTTGCTGGGCGGGTGGTACACATTCCCCATCACCAGCAAGGAAAGAAACCATGCTTTAGGCTCCACAAAACTGGAGGGACTGCCGTGTCCCTAGACGTGCTACCTCTCAGCCCCAGGGTAAAAAGAGGCTGCAGGCAGTTCTGGGTGCCTCTCCCATGACTTCCACGTGGCCTCTGGCCCCAGGTGCACCTGAGGGGAGCGCCTCCCTGCGGAATGCAGCTCCTCCTGTGGAGGGCAGGGTCCTGGCAGGGTCTGGGGAGGGCAAGGGCACAGAGCTTCTGAGCTCCCCAGACACTTCAGGAGGGTGGGTGGACCCCAGCATCAGCGATTGTTCCCCCTCCATGGAACCCTGCTCTTCTACTTCCAGCTGGAAATCCAACTCCCTCTGACCTTGATAGCCGCCTACAGGGGGATGGGGTCTCCAGGAAGGCCAATAACCAGACTCTCACAGATGTCTCCAAAGGCACCATGGCCCAGGTCTCTGCAGGAAGACAAGTTGAAAGGGAGTGGGTGGCTGGGCCTGAGGAAGGGTCCTGGAGAGTCTAGTCTCCTTTACCTCCCTCCCCCCACCCCTTTTTGCCCAGCTGGCCTTCTCTGAGGGTCTGAGCTTTCTCTACAACATCGCACGTCCCCAGGTGTAAGTCCTGCAGAGGCAATGTTGACCGGCACAGAGCCAGGCAAAAGAGAGGAAAGATATGGGGTCAGGGTTGGGGGGGTGGTCAGCATGAGGCCTGCCCTTAGGTCCTGGCAGCCACCCTGAGGTGGAGGCAACCTTGCTCCAAAGGAATCATATCCTAGGGTCCCTACCATCTCAGAATTGAAGGAGATATCTGACCCCGGGCAAGTTATTCTCTCTTTTGGAGGTTCTCTGGCTTCCGTCTTCTCTACATAAGGTGTTTGAGCCAAACTCTGCTCTCTGGGATCCATAATTCACCACAGCAGGGAGCAGGGCGGGAGGGGGATTCAGAGTGTACAGGTTCTCAGAAGGAGGCAGAGGACTGGCCTGAGCAGAATGACACTGTCTGGGGAAATCTCGGGAAGCCCTGGGGATAGAGGCCAGGACTGGGCTTGGCCATGCCCCATCTGGCAGTAGTAGGGGTTGGGGGCTGTCCTATGGTGGAAGTTCGAAGCTTGCTCAGTTCAAGCCCAGGGTCTGGCAGCCTTGTACTCCATAGGCCCTGCCACTTCTTACGGTTCACTGAAGGTGGGAGAAACAATGGCACACTCTCCACCTGCCCATCAGGCCCACCCTGCTTTGCTTCCCCCTGCCTAGGACACCTCTTCAGAAGCCCATTAAAGCAAATGTTTCCCCCGGGGCCTCCCCACCTGCTTCTACTCTTAGAACCCCAGAGGAGTTCACCATTGCTCTGCAGGGAGTAGGGCTCTTGAAATTGGCCGTGTGTGCCCCTGAGACCCCACACAACTCAGTGGAGAGGTGGGCAGCCCTGAATCAGCCGTATCTGCTGCATGATCCATACCCAGAATCAGGACCCCACACACCATAAGGGGACTAGGTGTAGAAGTCGCCCCCACACCCACCAATAGAATCAGAGAGCCGGGGGCTGTGGGCAGATCTAGGGAGAAAGAGAGACACCTCCAGTGGGGAAGCTCCTCTCTGTCCCTCCACTCCAGGCTTTTAGCCATGCCTCAAGACTCAGCTCAGCTGATAACTTTCCTTCCTTCCTTCCTTCCTTCCTTTCTCTTATTTTAATCTTTTTGTATTTTTTCCATTATTTAGTCTTCTTATATCTCCCTACCCACACTAGACCACACTCTGTCCATGTCCACGATCAGGTGTTAACTTTTCCATGATGCTTTTCCCACTTATCCTAGACAAGCACAACCTCTCCCACCTGAGGACCCCTAAACCACCTTATATCCCCTATGGTAATTGTCACTTCAATATATATCTATATCTAGATATATAGATAGCTAGGTAGTGCCCCTCCCACACTAGACCACTAGACTACATGCTGCCTGAAGGCAGAGCGTGCACTGATGCATGTCCAATCTCCTGCCCACACCCGACATGGTGCCTGGCACACAGCAGGCAACACTCCTCGTACCCTACTGCTCCTCCCAGTCTGCAGCCCCAGGAGTCCAGACCTCGGACAAAGGCAGAACATACCCACCCAGGTGATGTTATCAGCAGCTAGCTCCATGCCCTCTGGGAACATGCATTTGACCAGCTGGAACTCTGCCTGCCATTGGCAGCCTTTCAAAGGCAATGACTGCAATGGAGATGCAGTCAGATTGCCACTTCTCCATGGTTCTCCTTGTATATGAGTAAAAGAACTAATGTTGCAGGGAGAGGATGGAGGTGCGGGGACACATACATACTTTTGCCAGCCACATGGATAATTCTAGCCCTGGACTTTGAAACAAGCAGCAAAGCCAGGCATTTAAGGGTGGGTGGCAGGTCTTGGGGGACTGTCAGACCTGCATACTCCCTTTTTCTGGAATCCTTGAGCTTGCTAGTATTTGAAAATTCATAGCATGGAGATACTTGACAAGCACCCCAGAATGCCCCATACTGACATCCCAGTTCCTAAATATTCCTGTGCTGTGCAAGAAGCAGGTAGTTCACAGTGCAAACTTTCTGGCTCAGATGGGAGTGGGCTCAGGAACTGAGGAAAAAAGCTAGGCCAGGCTGAAAGGTGGAAGGTAGAGGCTAACACCTGCCAGGGGCTGCAGGTAGAGCTCTCTGCTGGGGTACAGAAAGGGTACGCCATCTTCTCCATTAGCCTGGAGTAAGTCAGTCTTTGAGGTACCACCCTCTGGAAACAGAAAGTGATAGAAGGAGCAAGGGGCACACAGAGGCTTCACTGCTGGGAAGATGACTTATGAACAGTGGGGAAGCTGGAGTCTCCCAGTGGAAATCCCAGCATGGCCTCCTCTATGCCAGCATCACAATACAGGTGCTGCCCTTTCACAAGTGTGAGACAGGAGCTAGAGAAAGGTGGGAGGGAGTAAGCAACTGGGACCTGTAGGCCTCTCTCAGGCTGGCTGGGACACCTCCTTGTCCATATAACTCCTCTGGTCCTATGTCCTCAGCTATAGAAGGGAGAGGCTGTATATAATGGAAGAAGATAGATAGATATAATTTATAAACAGTATAGCCCAGACAGACACAAAGGCTCTGTTTCTTTACACCGGTGGTTTACAAACACAAGTGTATTAGAATCATCTAGAGGACTGACTGAAACAGATTTCTAGGACCCCCTGCTAAAGTTTCTTTTTTCTTTTTCCTTAAAAATTAAAAAAAAAAAAAAATCGCCCTGGCTAGTGTGGCTCAGTGGATTGAGTGCCAGCCTGCCAACCAGAGAGTTGCTGGCTCGATTCCCAGTCAGGGCACATGCCTGGGCCCCCAGCTGCAAGAGGCAACCACACATCGATGTTTCTTTCCCTCTTTTTCTCCCTCCCTTGCCCTCTCTCTAAAAATAAACTTTAGAGAGAGGGAAAAGGAGAGGAGAGAAAGAGCCATCGATTTGTTGTTCCACTTATTTATGCACTTACTGGTTGATTCTTGAATGTGCCCTGTCCCGGGAAAGAACCTGAATCCTTGGCATGTAGGGGCAACACTCTGACCAACTGAGCTACTCAGCCAGGCTGACTCTAGAATTTCTGATTCAGTAGGTTGCAGAGGGGCTGAGAGTTTGCATTTCTATTAACATCTTAGGTGGTGCTGACACTACTGGCTCAGGGACCACACTTTGAGATCTACTGATTTGAATTATCCTTGCCTTTTCTTCCTGTCTGCTCAGCTTGCTAATTTGGCTATCTCTAAAGTCCTGTGACTGCTGCAGAACAAGGAGGGCACCTGTTGCGATGAAAAAGGTCCTCGATTTAAATGAAAATCTAAGGAATGCTCTCTGCAAGTGTGATTTGCAACTTATCTAACATCTCTCTCTCTCTCTCTCTCTCTCTCTCTCTCTCTCTCTCTCTCTCTCCCTCTCTTTCTCTCTCTCTCTCCCCTCCACCTTCCCTCCCTCTTCAGACCTTTTTTTTCTAAGAGCTATTAACTCTCTCCGCTCTGGCCTGAAGCGAGGTTCAACACCTTGCCCACTCATTCTTCTGAGAATCTCGGCCTGTTCTAAGGCTCTAACCTCACTTCACCCACCAGCTGCCTTGGCCAAGGGCGCGCCTACCCGGGTAGCCTCCCGTCGCCTCTGCCCGCAGTGCAGGCCCCTCGGCCACCCCCTTAGCTTCCGGCTGCAGCCCAGCCCAGCGCAGCCCTGGCTGCCCTCTGTCCCCTCCCGCTCCCACCGTGAGCAGCCGCCTGAGGAGGGGAGGCCCACGACGTTTAGTCGTCCCCTCCTCCTGCGCAGCAACCCAAGGATGGCCGGCAGCAAGCCCCGCCCCCCCTCCGCAGCGGCCCCACGCCCTCACCTGCCCCGTGGGGTGGTTCTCCAGGTTCTCGCGGCGGTCTGAGTCCGGCCTCGCTCCTGCCCCCTCACGTGGGCCTGTCGGCCCCCGCAGACGGCCACCAGAGGCGGCGCTCGCTCTCCGCGCACTCAGCGGCGTGCCCTGTAGCCGTCGAGTGAGGACTCGGGCACTAGGCGAGGGCTCCGACCCCTGGGGCTGGAGTAAGGGAAGGGGCTCCCAGCCAGACCCAGGGACTTTGGGACCCCAAAGCCCCTACATAGCTCCTGTGCGTGCAGTCCCGGGAAAAGGTTTGGGATCTTAACGCTGAGCGCTGGGGAAGGGAGCTCCCCGCGGGGAGGCTAACAGGTACCAAAAAGGCGTAGGTGGCGCCCCTGCCCGCGCTGTACCACCCGCCCAGCGCTGCGACCCCTTCAGTCCCATCTGCCGCCGCATTCTCCTCAGACGGCCTCAGACTCTCCGAGGCAGACGGCCTCGCTCCCCAGGCTCCCTTGTGGGTGGGTATCAGGCGCCAATCAGTAGGGCCGCAGGCACTCACTCCCCTGGCAGTGCCGAAGTCTGAACACCGAGGAGCGCTCCCTCCCTTGGCCCAGCGCTCGCCCGCAGCGCTAGAGCCGCCCTTTCCCACTGGCTCCACTTACTCCAGGACAGACGTCCTGTCCTTGCTGCCCAACGAGGATGTAAAGTGGCTTCCCGCGGCCAAGGGAGAAGACGCCACGTGCTGTGACAAGTGGTTCTTGGAGCCTTTGCGGCCCTTGACTCCGTAAACTGAGATCCTGCGGACAGCCGGTGCTGAGTTCCCAGCCCTCGCCCTTGGGTCCTGGGGCCGCCTGCCTGGGACAGAGGTTGGTGACAGAGGCGGCTCCATAATTTCTTGTCTCGGGGACTTAGAAGCTGTAGTCGATTCTGAAGAGAAGGGAGACTAGGTTTGCACACCATAAACTTAGACTTCACACTTAATTTAGGAGGCTTAATGGAGATGGGGTGGGAGGAGGCTCAAGCCGCCCACTCCGTTGACTCTGCAGCTGATTATGGGTCCTTTGCTTGGCGGCAACAGGATTTTGGGTACGGGCTAACTCGACCGACGACGGCGGCTATTGCCACCTTTCTCCTGAGTTCTGCCAGGAAAAGGGACAGTCAGGGGCACCGGGGCTGCACGTCAGCTGCAGAATACCCTAAGATGCAAGGTGGTGGCCTTCCTTCCCCTGACAGTAGAACCTCAAACTCACACGTCACCACCCACCTCTATTCCTGCTCCCCACTTACTGGTACTGGCCCGGCGGCCTCCACTGTCACCCCCACGTTGCTGCCTGTGTGCGCCCCATCTCACCGTTTGTGTGGGCTCGCACCGTCTGCTGGCCCCGCAGGGGGAGAACTGCCAAGACCCCTCGGTGTCTGGAGCAGGAAGAGAGGAAAGGGTCATAAGGCACCAGCTGGTGGTGGGTGGAGAAGGGAGGAAGCAGCATGGAGCTCGCCTGAGCAAGCTAGTGAAGAGGCTGGCTGCCTGCCTCTAGGCTAGGCGGGGCCCTGACGTTCGGGCCCTGGGGACTGGGACCTGGCGGGGACGTGGGTGGCAACCAGGGAGCCTGGGACTCGGAGCTGAAGCAGAGAATGGCTCCTGAAAGGTGACAGGGAGGCATCGGGGTTTGGAGAGGAGGCCGCATGTTAACGGAGGACGGGAAACCCCTTTTCTCTGCAGCCGGCCAGCCTCCGCGGCCACGCCCCCAGCCCCACCCAGCCTGTGCACCCCAGCGCTCGGACGCAGGCTCTCCCCCAGATTTTGGTTGCTGAGGCGCGCTGATGCTTTTGCAAGTTTCTCTCCTGGAGAGTCCTTCCCAGTGAATGACTCGGGAGTCGCACTCAGTCTGGGTCTCCCCATCCCTTCTTCGACTTGGCGTGGTGTGCCCGCCCCCTGCGGTGCTGAGACGCCCCCCGCCCCCAGGGCCTGTCCCTCCTTTCCTAGCTGCGTGATCAGGATTTTAGGATTGAGGCAGACACGGCGCTTCTCGGCTCTCATTTTGTAAACACCCATTTGGGGTGCTGGCCTCAAAGGTTAGAGGCTTCCGAAAGAGCCATTGAGCCCCTTTCTGTCGCGACTGCCGTCCCCAAACCTAGGAAAGCGCCTCTGGCTGAGCTGTTCCCTGACTGCCAAAAAGCACTTACCCGCAGCTCCCAGCCACAGCAGCTGCGGGCCGAACGCCCATCACCTGTTCTGCCTGCCGCTTCTAGGTTTGCCGCCTTAGACCCAACTTCCAGGGCCCGAACTGCGGCTTTCAGGAGTGTCCAGCCGCTCGCTAGACACCGCCTGGTCCTAAAGCCGGCCTGGCCGCTCCCACCTCAGATTCTGGGATTTCAAAAGAGGAAAGGGAAGGCCGTGTGGTCAGAGAGGTCCCTAAGCTTCCTGGAAGAATCTTGCAAAGCCTCCCACTCAAAGACTCTCAGTCTCCCGCCATTGGCTCTGGCGTGGGCTGCCCCGGGGAATGCGGTGGATACCTGGAAGGGAAGTGTCTCCAGCCTTTGGAAGCAGGGTCATGAAAAAGTGGAGAGCCACACCCCAGACACCCCACATGGGGCTTCTAGCTCTCTTGCACCAGGAGCAGTGTGTGTGCACTTCATTGGTAGTGGCCAGTGTGATAACACATGGGTAATGCTCTTTAAACTGCCCCAAGATAGGCAACATCACTTGTCCTTATTTGTGTCTTTCAGAGACTTTGTGACTGCAAGGTTGCACCTCCCAAAACCCTCAGAAACATGGATCTCTGGGTTCACCTCATACAATTCCATTGCCTGTGTTAACTCGGTGCACAGCTTTAGGGTGATGGTGTGAAAGCCTGAATCTTGATGTCAGATATGAATGCTAGTACTGCTCTAGTATCTCTGGCCAGTGGGTGGTGGTGCACAGTCACAACTGTTCTAAGACAGTTTCCCCACCACCTACAAAAATTATAGGAGGAGAAATTGCTCTGTAAATTACAAAGCATCCCACAACTATGAGGGCCAAAGTCTTAGGATAGTTTTGTGTCTTCTTCACTCTTTTGCACAAAGTACTAATTTTATATGCTAAGGCTTGTGTTTAATATAAAACGTTGGAAAAAAGAGGCTTTAGTAGCCCTGGCTGGTGTGGCTCAGTCGGTTGGAGTATAGTCCCTTAAACCAAAAAGTCCTGGGTTCCATTCTCCGTCAGGGCACTGTGGGTTTGGTCCTGGGTCCAGGGTGCTTAGGAGAGGCAACTGATAGATGTTTCCGATGTTTCTCTCCCTCTTGCTCCCTCTCCCTTCCCCTCTCTCTAAAATCATTAAAGGTGTCCTTCAGTGAAGATTTAAAAAAAAAAAAAAAAAAAAAAAAAAAAAAAGCTATAGTAGTTAGGAGCTTGGTTAAGTCTCTGGGTATGCTAGATGTAGATACAACAGTGATTTTGTAAAATCTCTGGTATCCATGCCCTATTTAACTCTGTAGATGTTCCACTATGAAGTCATAGAATTTACTTTGCAAGGTTTCTGTAAACCAATGGTTCTCAAAGTGTGACTGAGCCAGGAGAGCTGCATCAGCATCACCTGGGAACTTGTTAGAAATGCAAGTTCTTGGGTTTTACCCTAGACCTACTGAGTCAGAAACACTGGTATAGGGCCCAGCAATCTGTTTTAACACATTAATTATCCAGGTGATTCTGGTCACGATAAATTTGAGAACTATTGGTTTGCAGATACAGTAGTTGCTTAATAAAATGTGTAATACTATGTTCAGCCCTGGCTGGTATGGCTCAGAGGACCGAGTGCTGGCCTGTGAAACCAAAGGCTGCATGTTCCATCCTGGGTTAGGGCACATGCCTGCGTTCCAGAGCAGTGGTAAGACCTGAATGGTTGTGTCCACCTCCCCCCACCTGCCAAATTCCTATGTCGAAACCTAATCCCCAATGTGAGGGTATTTGGAGATGGGGCCATTGGGAAGTGATTAATCATGAAGACTCCACCCGTGTGGTTGGCATGGGACCAGTGCCCTCATAGAGAACCCAGGGAACTCCTTTGTCCCCCCTGCCATGTGAGAGCTACGAACAAGGAGGCAGGCCCTTGCCAGAGACCAAATCTGCCAGCACATTGATTTTGGACTTTCCAGCCTCCAGAACTGTGAGAAATAAATATGTTTATAATAAGCCACAGCCACCCAATCCATGGTATTGTTATAGCGGCCCAAACAGGGCAAACAGCTACTACAACAGTCTGATTTTTGGCCTCTTCATGTCTCAGGACAGCAGTTGATGTAAACAGGGGACCATAAGAAGAAAAGATGCTCAACTACTTCATTAAGGATACCTATTCTTCCTTACTCAGAAATGCCCTCAACCCCAAGAACATTGCCCTGGCCTGGCTCCACTCCAGAACTGGGATCCACATTTTTGTTGTATCCACATGTGGACTGTTTTCACCTTCCACTCATGCTTCTCCCCCGGATAACGTGACCCTTGATACCAATTCTGACCTAACACAACTGAAATCAGTCCAAATCAGATTCCCAGGAGAAAAAAATATTGTTTATTTCAATGCACAACTGCAGCATTCATGTGCCTTAGTCTGGGTTGGCAGGAGGAGAGGTGTAACTAGTTTTCTTGTCCCCAAGATCAGGTAAGTAGCTAGGTCATCCTTCACTCTCAGCACTGGTCCTCAGAAGTCCCAGATCCTGAGCTCCAGATATCAGGATATAACGGTAGGGCTGACCGTGCTCCAAAAATCTCAAACAGTCTGCTTCCAGGAAGGCAACCTTCTGCTCCTTTGTCCTCTGCCCTCCCTTAGGACACAAAGCCCTTCTGTCTGGCCAGGCATCTGTTGGCAAACTCCAGGAGAACGCATCCATCTCTTCATCCGCAGCAGCTATACTAGGTCTCTGATACCCCATTTTGGGGCATCCCTGAGGTTAGTCTCTGGAGGTACTGCTGACGTAGAGGTGGCAACTGAGGATACAGCTCAAAGCCCTCTGGAAGGGTAGAATTAGGAAGCTTATAGTGGAGGAGGTGCTGCCGGAGACCCTGCAAAGAGGGAAGAAAGCTTACAAAGTGGGCAGTGAGATCCTGTTGAAATGTATGTCCCCCAAGATCCACTATTCTCCCACCCGCCAGGATGTGCCCAACCCTACCTCATCTGCCAGCAGCCAAGTTTTCTGCAACATGGTCCTACGGGCAGCCTTTACCTCATCCTAGAGACAGAACAGGGAGACCTGGCATTGGGCCAAGGGCTGGTACCCATCGCTGGCCCTCACCTCCTCTCCAACTGGCCCAAAGGCAGTGCAGTTGCAAGCTCCCTTCCTCTCTCTGGAGAGGGGAATGTAACTTACTGAGCTCTTTGGGTCTTGGGAGAAGATGAAGCTGTTGATATGAGCCACAGTCACAGCATAGAGCACTGGACACCAATGTAGACGGAGGGCACTAGTAACCAGGGCCTGGAAATAGAGCTGAAGGAGGGCCAGGTTGTCTTCAGGAGGCTCCGTGTAGCATTCCAGGGACACAGGCAACTGTGACAGGGGAGATGAAATATGCTGAGGATAACATGGTTACTTGCAACTGGACAGTGCGATTACGGATGAGTCTAATTATGTTCTCTTTAATTCTCAAAAAAAGTTTTAGTGTTTTTATACAAAATATGCATTTATATTTTATATACACATTAAAATATTTCTATTTTGTTTACCAGATGTTACAATAAAAATTAAAAAATCAGATCTTAAAAAAAAATGTCTTCACAGCTTATAAACTCCTTAGCCTGATATTTGAAGCCCTTTAAGACTTTATTAGCCTTGTTTCCAAGAAGTTTCCAAACTGAAATCTGTTCTAGACTCCTCCCTCTTCCCAAGCTGTCATATTCCTCTCTGCCTCTGAGCCTTTGATTATGCTGTTCCACATTCCTGGTCAACACCATGTCAATTTCCACTTCTTCCATAAAGCCTTCCTCTTATGGGAAGCCAACTTTTCCTTCTCTGACTCCTGACTTAGCACCTAAAATCTAAATAATTTGGAACTATCTTGGGATTTAGTACATCTCTTACCTGGATCACAATACCTCAAGGACAAGAAGCTTGAGCCCTGAACACCTGCTTTATGCCAGATAACCTTTTTGTGGATTCTTTTAATCGCCTCAAAGCCTTGGAGAGGTATGACAAAGAACTGGGGGCCCACCAAAGCTCCCCACTGCTCACGGCTGCCCCCAAGGCCCAGTACAGGATGCCCATGGCAGGCTCTGCTGGGTTGAGAAGGTACCTGGGTCAGAGGCAGGCGCAGAGCTCGCAAGGCTCCAATATGCTCCCCAAAGAGGACGAGGCGCAAGGTGACGCTGAACCGACGCTGCAGTGGAAAGAGTACCAGAGCCCCAAAGAGGTGGTCCCCAAAAGAGACAGCCTCAAAATGCTCCAGGAAGTTGGCATAGAGGTCAGGGAAAGATGCCAGGCCAGGAAGCGGGCAATCCAGGTTGAGTTTCGGCAGGACTTCAGGCTGGCAGAGCCGGGCCAGGAGGGCTGCCACCAGATGTTGTATTGGGGTCTCCCGGAACAGTTCACTGTCCACCAGGAACACACACATGAGCCGTGCCAGGCGGGCAGCAGGGGGCACAGCCCAGAGGGCCTGGGGACGCCAGCTCTCCAGGACTAACACCCACTGCAAGGCCCGCATGGCTGTGCCCACAGCGTCAGCAGGAGGGATCCCTGAAGGGGTGTCTGAGGCCTGGTGGTAGAGGTGAACCAGCGGCTGGAAGGGCCAGTCGGTGGGCAGTAGAAGCTCCTTAGGCAAAGGGAGCAGCAGAGCTGGGATTCGCTGTAGCTCCCCTCGGTACAAGGCCTGAGAGGCCTTCAGGCTGGGCCGGGCCAGTGAGCAGTGGGTCAGGTAGCAGCTGCGAATGCTGGGGAGGTCCCGGCAGGCCTGAGCCAGCAGAGCTCCTCGCCCACACCCAGGGTCCCTGCTGCTCCCTAAGGACAGCCGGTCAGAGAAGTCGGCTGCTTCTGGACCCCCTGCTGCTCTTTCCCTGTAACAGAACCCAAAAGCCAAAAATAAGGGTTGGACCCACAGCACCCAGAAGGCCATGCCAGCTTTCCAGGGCTTCCCAAAGGTTCCTAGGTCTTTCCAGTTCCCCAGTTCCATGCAGTGTGTGTGGCAGTTATGAGGGTGGACACTAGAGTCAGCTGCCTCAGAGCAAGGTTACAGAGCTTCTCTGTACCTCAGTTTCCT